CGGGGCAGCGGCCTGGCTGCGGGTTTCCGCGGGGAAGTTTCTTTCCCTTCCCGTAGGGCCGGTGGCCGTGCCCCGGGAAGCCTCATTCTAATCCGCCCAAGTGAGAGCTGCTGCTGCTGGGTCTGGCGTGGTGCCCGGGAAGCCTCATTCTAATCCGCCCAAGTGAGAGCTGCTGCTGCTGGGTCTGGCGTGGTGCACCGCAGGCGCGACCTCTTCCCATCTCGGCTTTTCCTTACACTCGCTCCCTGTGACATACTAGCCTTGGGGGCCCCGCAGAGCAGGGCCGGAAGAGCTCTGGCTGCCCTTCAATACTCTCCTTAACACAAAAATACAATACAACGACAAATAGCCTCCCCATGAATCCAACCGACTAAAGGTCACCCCTGGTCTAGACTCCTACCCCTTCCTCTGAGCTGCTGGGGATATTTGGATTTCTCCTGCATTGTCTGTCTTCTTTCCCTTTGCTGTTGTGGTCCTTGTGGCTGTGGCTATATCCACCATACCTTCAAGACCATCTTCAGTTCCCACTCCCAAAAGGTGTCATTCTGATGCTCTTGTTAGATTTGAGTGATATTTGTAACGTGAGGAAGTTAATCAGACCTCACTGCAGTGTTTGCGAGGAATTGTTTATGCCTTGCTTATTTTCCTCTTAGGGTGCTAACTTCATCAATTGTTTGCCTTTTCATTGTGAGTCAGCCCATGCCTTCTGCATTGCCTCCAGAGCTCACTTCTGAAAGTCCTTCATGTTGGAATCAGTACATTTGGGATACTAATGCAAATAGGAAACTAATGAGTCTAAAGGGGGAAAAAAAACAACAAATGGTCTCGTAGCACTCTAAAGACTAACAAAACATGTAGATGGTATCGTGAGCTTTCGTGGGCACAGCCCACTTCTTCAGATGACCGGAGTTATGAATTTAGGATGTGTACACCCAAAATAAATAGGAGAGGGGAAGGGGAGGAAAAAAACGGAAGGGGGTGGGAAACAGAGGGCAGAGGGAATCAGTAAGTATCCACAATATGCCAACATCTTTATGGCTGACCTTGAACAACGTTTCCTCAGCTCCCACCCCCTAACAGCCCTACTTTACTTACTCTACATCGATGACATCATCATATGGACCCACAGAAAAGAGACTCTTGAAGAATTCCACAAGGATTTCAACTTCCTCCCCACCATCAACCTCAGCCTGGACCAGTCCACATGAGAAATCCACTTCCTGGACACTACAGTACAGTTAAATAATGGACAAATTTCTACTACCCTATATTGGAAACCCACCGACTGCTACACTTACCTTCATGCCTCCAGCTTCCATCCCAGACACATTTCTCAGTCTATTGTATACAGCCAAGCCCTAAGATACAACCGGATTTCCTCCGACCCGACAGACAGACAGACAGAATCACTTACAGGATCTTTACAGAGCATTCCTAAAACTGAAATACCCACCTGGAGAAGTGAAGAAACAATTTGACAGAGCCAAAAAAGTACCAAGACATGAACTACTTCAAGATAGACCCAAAAGAGAAAATAACAAAACTCCTTTTGTTATTACCTACAGTCCACAACTCAGACCCCTCCAACGCATTATTCACAATCTGCAACCCATCGTGGAAAATGATCCTTCACTTTCAGAGGCCTTGGGAGAAAAGCCTATTCTTGCTTACAGACAGCCCCCTAACCTGAAACTAATTCTTTCTGGTAACCATGCCACACAACCACATCGTAAGCCTCCAGGAACCCAGCCCTGAAACTAAAAACAATGCCAACTCTGCCCACATATCTATACTGGTGAATTCATCACTAGAGCTAACAACTCAAAAGGACATTTGACTGCACATCCAGTAATTTGATCTATGTGCCCCACTGCTATATATATTGGACAAACTGGACAGGCTCTGCGGGAAAGAATCAATGGACACAAATCAGATATACGTAAAGGAAACATACAGAAACTTATTGGGGAGCACTTCAGTCTTTCACATCACACTTTAAAAGATCTCTGAATAGCTGTCTTGTCACAAACCAGTTCTACAAGCTATATCCACAGGGAAGCATTGGAATTAGAGTTCATCCTCAAATTCAATTTACATACTAATGGACTCAATCATGATGAAAGTTGGTTGGGACACTACCAATGTAACAGCTATTGAAGGTGCATACAGCTCTTTGTGTAGTATCCTTCCTGACACTGGAGTCTGTCTATTGACTTTGATTCTTATCTGCTTCGGTTTAACTTCCCAATCTTCAGATACTTACTTATTCCCTCTGTCTCCCATCCTCCTCCTTTTTCTTCCCTGCCCTTCTCCTCTCCTATTTATTTTGGATGTACACATCCTAAACTCATAACTCCACTCATCTGAAGAAGTAGGCTGTGTCCACGAAAGCTAATGATACTATCTACATGTTTTGTTAGTCTATAAAGTGTTACCAGACTATTTATTGATTTTTTTCTGTAACAGACTAATTCGGCTATCCATGAAGAGTCTAAGGGAGTTAGGTATCCAGTCATGATTGCAATATGAGAGCTGAGTGCCTAACTCCCTCTGGCCCCTTTGATCCAGTCTGTCCATTTGCTATAGTGCCAGCTGGAAGCTGGCAAGCCTTGTGGTCCTTTAAGGAAAGAAAATAATTGTAAGTTCTTTATTGAGAAGTGCCACCAAGTGGTTAGCACTTGGAACTGGATGTTAGGAAGGGAGTTCTAGTTCCATCTCTGTCACTCTGGTGCAAGCAGGGTCTGAGTGACTTCTCCCCAACAGCTAGCTGGGAGTGGGAGAGACTTCAGGAACAAACTGTATTTACATGAACACACCTAAGGCCTGTCTAGTCAGCAACTGAATCTCTGCAGCTGAACAGGTCAGCTGACTAGGGCTTGATCTGATGATGGTTCTGTAAAACTGCTCTGTAGGGGTATGTCTAGACTACATGCCTCTGCTGACAGAGGCATGTAAATTAGACTACCCGACATAAGTCAATGAAGCAGGGATTTAAATATCCCCCGCTTCATTAAAATAAAAATGGCCGCTGCGCTGTGCCGGATCAACTGATTATTGGCACAGTGCAGCAGTCAAGACGCGGATAGGTTGACAAGGGAAGCCTTTGTTGACCGCTCCCTTATGCCTCGTGAAACGAGGTTTACAGGAGCGGTCGACAAAGTCTTCCCCTGTCGACCGATCCGCATCTTGACTGCCGCGTTGTGCTGACGATCAGCTGAGTCTGCACAGTGCGGCAGGCACTTTTTTTTGAGTCTGCACAGTGCGGCAGCCATTTTTATTTTAATGAAGCGGGGGATATTTAAATTCCTGCTTCATTGACTTATGTTGGGTAGTCTAATTTACATGCCTCTGTCAGCAGAGGCATGTAGTCTAGACATACCCTAGATGTATGGGCTTGGCTAAAGCTGGAGCTCTGGTAGGGGGAGGGTCCTAGAGCCTGGTCTCCAGTCCAAATGTGAACATCTACACTGCAATTATACAGCCCTGCAACTAAGTACCGTGAGCCTGAGTCAGCTGACCTGGGCCAGCAGCAGTGTTTAACGCAGTGTAGACATACCCTCATTCAAGTCACAGACTCTGTTTTCCCAAACGTGTGCAAACGAGTAGAAGGAGAGCAGCCTTCATAAAATGCTCAAAAATCCTGGGAAATAGGGGCAGAACCTCTGCTGGTGTAAACTGGCATAATTCCCTCATAATTAATGGAGTTCTGCTGCACAGGATCAGCAGACAATCTGGACTGTACTGTGCTAAGTGCAGTGTTTTTTAAAAAAAGCAATGGTTCTGAAACAAAGTACAAATTGGAGACACCCATTTATAGATCTCACTGCAAGACATCAGTACAGAAAATAGACATTGAATTGTGATTTACACCACTAGTGCTTAGTTCTGTTACCCAGTGCCCACAAAGCATATAGATCTCAGCACTCAGAAGTAGTTGTCTACATTTATTAGCAAGAATGTCAAGGTTGAGTAATTCTGTCCCACGCCAGAGACACTGAGGCTGTAATAATGTTCTGGTACAACCTCTCAAAAATATGGAAGACTCAAACTGAAGGACCTCCACGAACAACAAGGGTAGGGAGCTCACAGTGCTGTGGAAGGCCTAAATAACATTCTCTACAAGCTATTCTGTGCTGCTAATGTACAGAATTTACAATGTTCAAAAGCAGATAGACGGTACTGAGCTTGGGCAGGACTTTAATTTGGCTTAGTATAATAGGACTGGAGCTTCAAATAGACCTTCAAGGCAAAGAAATCTGACTAGTGTAATAGGTGGAGGCCAGGCTGGAGAGCCTGAGCCCAAATAAAGAAATTAACAGGAGACACATGCATGTGTGCAAAGGCTTAACTTGGTCTTAGTAGTGACTGGATGTCTGAGAGACTGCATTTGTAAGAGATGAATTCCTGAGCTGCTGAAATTCTATATCACGTATTTCTCTGTTGAAACTGGAATTGTTTGTATGGTTAAGTACCCAATCCTCATCCAAGGACAGAACTCGATGGATAGGTTTTCAATGGTGCTGCTCACCTGGAGTCCCCACTGGTTTCAATGGAAGCTGAAGGTGCTTGGCAGTTTGATAATTAGCTGGCAATTGAACAAAAGTGAGTCAAAACAAAATGAGCCAAATGCTGACATCTTTACTCATGCACAGCTCCAAGTCTGCCTGAAGAAGGGATGGGACTCCAAAGGATGTAAATATGAAGATGAAAACCAATCCTTGAAAGGTTCAGATAATCGTATTTTGATGGTACAGCGACCAATTCTAGTCAAACCTTACCTAAGCAGCACAGCCCAAATTAAACTGGACAGTTGGCTGTTTTCCTTGCTGCCTGTCAGTAATTTGGTTCGGAGACATCTGTGATCACTGACCCATAGATTTGTCTTTCCCAGTCTGACAGCTGTTGCACAAAGCCACGGTTCGGTCTCATGTTTGTTTTGCATTTCTGGACGTATTTCCAAGCCCTCTATAAATACAAGTAAAAACAGGGAGAAGAATCAGGAACTTTTTACTGGATTGTCCAGGTTACCTGTAAGTCTTAGAATTATTATTTGTATTTCCAAAGCACCTAAGAGTTTTAGTCTTGGTGGGCCCAACTGTGCTGGGGCAATATGGACACAGACCAAAAAATGAACCCATATGGTATCTGGACCAGGAGAGAAATAAAAGGACACTGTCAAATACAAGTTTTATTTAACCTTCCATTTTTAGGAATATGCAGTGAAATAAGAAGCACAAAGGCAACTGTCTGAAGGGAGCAGTATTAACAGATGGCACCTTTTTCCAGTCCATAACGATCATTGGCTTGAGTCCAGGATCTGGTCAGTAACTATCAACATTCACAATCAAGTGATGGCTGTCCAGTTGCCTCTGGGAAAGGAGCTGGAAGTCTCAGTCTGGTTTCCATTAATAGGTGTCAATTTCAGAAAGCAATAAGATGAAGGGCTGATGGACCCTGCCATACTTCTCCCCCGGTGGTGCTCTTTGGCTCTTTGAAGGCAGGAGACAATGGATAACTTTACACAATGAGCAGAAGGTTTTCCCCTGCTGTACTACCAGGGATTTGGAATTCAGATGATGTTACTGGGCTTTGGAGGGTTCAGAGTTTAAACTCCTCAGAGCAGAGACTATCTTTTGGTTCTGTTTGTACAGCACCTAGCACTAAGGAGCTTGGCCCATGAAAGGCACCCTGGGCTCTATCTGCAATAGAGACATGATTGTCTCACCCTTCAAATGTTGCACATTTGGGAGCTCTTGGCTTAACGCAGCCTCATGATATCTTTGTTCTCTTAGCCTTCCCCGTCTCAGGACTCAACTTCAGTGGGGCTCTGTGGCCGAACAGAAAGGTAATTTTGCATCTCCTTATAGGCCCTTTCTCCATGGAAAACACACGTTACAATTTAAGCAACAAGTCCTTTGACACCCATGTGATGGGTGTTTTATAAATACAGTAGAGGCCAAATCCTGATCTCATTGAAGTCAATGGCAAAACTCTCATTGACACTGAAGAGCCAGGATTTGGCCCTCTGTCTCCCAAGCAGAGGGAGGATCTTGTGTCTGCTTCCCTACCCGTAAAACAGCATAACAGCCCAGTGTTCATTAGGGATGTTAACGGGTAACTGGTCAAACAGGTATCTGGAAACAGCCCCGCCACCCATGGCCCAGCTGTGGGCAGAGGGCTGCTGCAGCCCCACCGGGCAGCCCCCATTTGGGAGCTGGTAGGGGCAGCTGTGGCAGCCCCACGTGGGGACCAAGAGCTGCGGTGGCAGCAGCACAACAAGCCTGGAGGTAGAGCTGAACTTCAGAATAGCCCCTCCCCTCTGTAATGAGCCAAGCCAATATCCCAGTTATGAATCTTCCTGCACTGTGCAGCTCAGGTCTCTTTTGTCATCTCTGATGTGCCTTCCATCACTCTGCAGGAAGACACAGGTCTCCCTTGCACTACTGGGAGTGATTGTAGTGTAAAATGCTAGCAAGCTTTCTCAATGCAAAAAGCAGAGAGAAGCAGCACCTACCTACAACGGCACTAGGGATGTAAACTCTCATTTTAAAAGTTAACCAGTTAAACACTAAGTTTAACTACTGAACCGTGGAACAGTCCGCTGCTCATGGTGCAACACGGTAGTCTCAGCCAAGCCAGAGCTGTCCCCACCCACAGAGCAGTGGACCTGGCCTGGCTGGTGCCGCCGTGCTGCGGGCAGGGGCAGCTTGAACCTGGCCAGGCCAAACACACTACAGGCAGGGAGCTGCTCCAGCCTGGCCAGTTAACTGGTTACCAGTAAGCATCACCCACTAAGGGTGATGCTTACCTGGTATCTGGTTACTCCTTTACATGGCTAAGCGGGACAGCAGAGATACTCCTGTCCTGGGATGAGCACTATGTGGTATTGCACAGTGCTGATCTGTAGTAGCAAAGCTTTCATCCAGCTATCCCAACTGCTAATTTCAGCCTTCTCGATTGGTAGTTAGCTTCAGGTAATTAGCCCTGAACGTGTTACCCAAATGCACTGCTCCCTTCTCAGGCTATGCTACTGAAGTTGATGAGTAAGGTCTCTCTCACCAGATAAAATCAGAATTTCCCATATCAATCAGGGGCCTAATTAGGATTGCTCAAGCTCAATGAGCTAAAACGTGAAACGCTATTGCGTGGTTTCTTTCAGATCTCTGATACTGGAAATCAGCAGCCTAACCCTCCAGCCTTTACCTCTGTGAGTAATTCTACTCACACAAGTAGTCCAGTGAGTCTATGCACATGCTAGTTACACATGAGTCAGGGTTTTGCAGGAGCATGTTCTAACAGTGCTGTTTCTCTTAACATCCTCACGTTTCAGCCCCCTGAAGGCTCACTAAAGCAGTAGTCTCTAACCTCTTTAACCACAAAATCTCTTTTTCTATTAAGTGCAGTGTAAGATCTACCTCAAACCCAAATACCCTTGCCTCACTTCCTTCCTATCCCTTCTTTGAGGCCTCACCCTGCTTACTCCATCCCCTTCCTCCCCCATCCTCACTCATTTTCATCAGGCTGTGGTAGGGGGTTGGGGTGCCAGCTCTGGTCTTGAGCCAAGGGGTTTGGAGTGTGGAAGGGGCTCCGGGCTTAGTTCAGGGTGGGAGATTGGGGTTCAGAAGGGTTTTCAGGGTGCGAGCTCTGGGAAGGAGTTTGGATGCAGGGGGACTCCCATCTGGGGCAGGACGTTGTGTGAAGGACGAGGTTCAGAGCTGGGACGGGTTCAGGAGGCAGGCTTTGGCTGGGCCCGGTTTAACTGAGATAACTTCCGGGTGGTGGAGCAGTGGGGTTAAGGCAGGCTTACTCCCGTCCTGGCCCTGCATCACTCCTGAAAGCAGCTGGCATGTACAGCAATGGCTCCATGGCACCATGTGCTGCCCCTCTTCTACAGGCACTGAGCCCACGGTTTCTACGGGCCACAGTTCCCATTTATTGATCATTGGGAGCTGCAAGAGTGGTATCTGTAGGCAAGGACAGCATGTGGAAACCCCCTGCTCTGCGTCTCTGAGGGCCTGCAGAGATATGCCAGCCACTTCTAGGAGCAGCAATTGCCATGTGGATAATTACTCTGGCCTTGACAGGTTAGGCATTTTAAAACTCACTACTCAAAGAATTACATTTAAGTGTAAGAGAAAATGAAAATTATGAAATGCACAGACCAGTCAAACACCAAAAACAACCCACTTTGCAAGCAGTAAAACTAGTAACAACAATCCCCCATGTATGTGTTGGGTTAGGAGATGAGAGGGAAGGACAGTGTGTGTTTGTGAGAATGACAGAGACACACACAGTGTGTGAGAGTGGCAGAGATTTGCATTGCTAAGCTCCCTCCCTTCCCTTCTGTGTGTGGAGACAGGGTACAGAAGAGGAGAGGAGTGACACCCTGGCATCAGTGCCCCCCCTCTTTTCTCTCTCACACCCTGCACAGCAAGCAGCAGGCTCCTAGGGGGGCAGCTCCAAGACAGAGGGCAGGAGTAGCATGACAGTGGATGGAGGGGCAACTGAAGTGCCAGCACTTGATAGCTTCCTGGCTATACCAGTCAGGATCACCTGTTGGAGGCACCAAGATCTGCCAGTAGATCCAGATCTACTGGTTGGTGACCACTGCACTAAAGCATTTCAGAACTTGCATCCAAACTGGGTCAAAGGCCTAGTCAAAAGAGCCGTGTCAGTAGGTTTCACTGCTGCAGTCCACAGGAGATCAAGACTGTCCACATCTGAGGTTCTCAAATTGTGGTCTGATGACCACCAGGGGTCCACAAGCTCCATTCAGGTGGTCCATGGATAATACCCTCTAAGATGCACACCCGGGAGGCCACACACAAGAAAATGAAGGGCTGCCAATCTAATTAGTAGCCCACAGGGGTGGCTCCACTAATTAGGTGTCTGGACCCTGGAGAAAGATGCACATGTAAGGTGAGGTGGTAGCCTGAAGGGGAACAGGAGGTAGGGGGGAGAGGGAGGGTAGTGGGGTGAGAAGAGAGAGTGGGAGGAATTAGAGATGTGCAGGGTTGTAGCAGCCAGAGAAAGAGGCAACTCTTCCGAGCTCCGGGTCTGTGGCTGCTGTGGCAAGGGAGATACCCCTCCAGATATTAAAATGGCTTGTGTGCTTTTATTTATAGAACAAAAAGAGCTAATTATTCTTAAGAGTTTTATATAGAGCACGTTTTTATCCAGAGTGGTTTACAATGGTCAGCTAGCCTATTGGCACAAACAACAGTCGGGAAGATCATTAAGTGGAATGCCAATACCCTTGGCAATTTTCAAGAAGTCCATGGGAAAAAAAGTTTGAGACCCATTGATCCCATGGGAAAGCTGCATACAACAGGAATCTTAGCATGCCCTCCCCCAACACACCCAGCCTCCTGCCTGCTCCCATAGCCCACCCCCCAGCCCTGACTCCTGTACCTCCTGCTTAGTAACCCTTCCAGTCAGCCACATTTGGGATCCTAGCTTCTGGCTGCATTATCACAGGCCCACGAATCAAACCCAAGTCTCCTTCCTTATGTTACAGAGAAGTCACACAATGCACTTAACATTAAAGGTTGCAGAGCAGTTTTTAAACTAAGAGATGGGGGAAAGCTGATTGGTGCAGAGGAGCACATGGATCGGACAGAGACATCTCTTACAGGAGAGTCTATTGATAGAGATTCTCTAGCTTTTAGTCAGGAGAAGAGGATGGAAGAGGATAAAGTATGGACCAGATCAGACGAAAAACATTCACATAAAAAAGAATCTGACATATCAGAAAAGGGCAGACAAATAAACAGTGACAAGTTTTTAAAGTGCTTGTACACAAATGCTAGAAGTCTAGAAAATAAGATGGGTGAACTAGAGTGCCTCGTGTTAAAGGAGGATACTGATATAATAGGCATCACAGAAACCTGGTGGAGTAGGACAATCAATGGGACACAATCATTTCGGGGTACAAAATATATCAGAAGGACAGAACAGGTCATGCGGGTGGGGGAGTGGCACTATATGTGAAAGAAAATTTAGACTCAAATGAAGTAAAAATCTTAAATGAATCAACATGTTCCATAGAATCGCTATGGATAGTAATTCCCTGCTCTAATAAGAGTATAACAGTAGGGAATCTATTATTGACCACCTGACCAGGACAGTAATAGTGACTATGAAATGCTAAGGGAGATTAGAGAGGCTGTCAAAATAAAGAACT